ATAAAAGAAAGAGAAGATTATAATCAAACTTTACAATGATTTAGAAAAAGTGTATCTGAGAACGTTTCATTCAGTTTCAGGCTACGAACTGGAAATTGTGTTACATGACTCTATCAGTTGTTCGCAGAATTTTTGCAAAACTTTCACCCTCATGTTACGAAGAGATGTTTGCCATTTAGAATTTATTAGAATAAATGCGTTCATTTTAATAAGAAGCACAGTACGTTAACTGCCTAAGCATTAATCCAGCCTTTTTTTCAATAGTGAAGCTTTCATGGTAAGAACCAACAGTAGCCTTGGCACAAAATTTTCTTTTATTTTTATGAGAACAACTCCCAAGTCCGAAGTTTAATAAACCTTCTCTGCCTGCAAAAATGTTGCAAAAAGGAGTACTGGTGCACTGCTTTTAAAGCGCTTCTTCCTTAAGAAAAAATGCCTTAGGTTACTACCAAAGAAGGTAGAAAGGCTTTGATCAGGATTGTGCTGAAACTTGGATCAAATTGAGCATAAAAAGTGTTGGACAAAGAGGAAAATTTTAAGAGACACTTTGCTGGTCGGAGGCTTAAGATCTCCTCTAGGTCTCTGGAGAACTAAGTAAAGGACAAACAATTTTTTTCATATCTCCTAGTCGCCCCTCTTCGTCCCAAATTTTGAGGCTGTCTACCAGTTCGCTTATAAAAACCATTGTGACGGATCCCAAAAAGACCTACCTATCAACGATTCACACAACTTCAGCCACGTCTAACACCCACAGCGCACTGCGCCCTGAATGGTAGCAATAGGCATCTCAGTAAAAACCATGCATAGGTATCTCAAATCCTAGGCCGCAAAACTTTTGAAGCATTTATACACACTTAGATAATTAGAAGGCCTGTCTTTACTCGTCGTGCAGGCACGACGAGTGAAGAAAGGCCATCTAATTATCTAAGTATGTGCTATCTAAGTACGCAAATGCTTCACTTTCGATAACCAATGTGATCCATAGTTAGGAGTTTTGAGATTTTCATAATATTTTCTAGAACTGAACGATACAGGCAGTCAACTTAATTGTGAGTTAACTCAAACTTCATCTTTCGTAATACTTACCTTAGATGGCCTGTCTTCACTTGTCGTGCAGGCCACAGCACTGTTTCCATCCGTTTCCGTTTTTCGCTGCGTCATTCACGAAGTTGGTATTGAACTGCGGCGCCGACGTTCGCGAGGTTCAGATCCATTACTCGTTACCAGCTGAATTCAGCTGGTCCATCCATGCAACGAACACGTCAACCCATCTGGTCGGTAGCCTCCCTCGAGGGGGTTTTGCTTCGAGCCAGCCCACCGATGCTTCGCCCTAGAGACGTATTCCGCTGGATCGCGAAGACGAGACATTGATCTCATATCCTGCGAAGTCCGACAAGATGTTGTACATCGCTTGTACTCCAGAAGACGTCGTTCCAGCGCTGTGTGGGTTGTTCGGAGTACCCTTGATGTAGTTGTCAGGCCACGTCTCTGCTAAACAGAGCGCAAGAAGAACGGGCGAATCGAACAGATGGGCTCGAAGCTCTGGGTCCGTCACCTGGTCTGTGGCTTCCTCTAGGCGCGAGCTACTCCTTGCCTCCTGTTTAGTTCTTCTTTCATCGTCATCCATGTTCATCAAACGCCTGCTATATACGTTGGAAGAAGTCTGGGCGATTGAAGAGCTTTTTTAATCTTGCAAAAAGCATTCTTCATGAAATGATTTCTTTCGGTCAATTCGCAGTCCTATCCGCCTCCCTACTTCGTTTAATTCTTTTAACATTGTCTCCGCTTCAGCGATATTTCTCGAGAAGAGCACAATGTCCAACACGAGGGTTCTCTCATCAATCTCAAAAATCCCCCATCGTCTCGTATACCTCTCTCTTCCAATCCAGCGGTTTCATCACCCACTGCTAGGCTGCGAAACGGTACGCCTTGTCGAATCCATCTCAAGATTGGTATGTTAAGGGGGCGATGTAAAAGCTGTACTGTTGTAGAGCAGCTCTTGTAGCACTCGGCCAATCTCGTCAAGTAAGATAGGTCCATCCCTGATCAACTAGCGCTGACAGTACGGCATTAGTCTCAACGCTGTCAAATGCTTTCTCACAATCGAGGAAGGTTCTCGCAATCTCGATAACCCTCAAGACCGTCTGGATGTGATCCACGCAGCTGAATCCTTTACGGAATCCAGCTTGTTCTCCAGGTTAGGCTTCATCCAGTGTCCTTGATATGCGAGCGAGAATAATCTTTGTAGATAGCTT